CGTTAAAAAATTAACAAATTTAAACCGGGTGTTTTACACATATATTAAAGTGTGCTATTAAAAAATAGCATCAAAAAGTGAGTTAGGAATGATATTTTATTTTTTTTAACTCTTCAAAAGGGTTAAATTAATCAAGGTTTAAAATCTTTGGTCAAACTTTGATCAATTTAACCCTTTTGCGGTGTTAAAGAAACACCTTAAAATATTATTTCCAACTTACTTTTTTGTGTTCTTTCAAATAGCATAAAAGATAATTTGGTCTCGTCTTGATATTTAGGCAAAATTTCGTTCTTTAATTTAAAAAAAACCGTTAAAATTTCAAACTTCGATCAATTTATCCCTTTTGCGGTTTTACAAAAAAACATTGAAATAATATTCCTATCTTACTTTTTTATGCTCTTTCAAATGGCATAAAAAAGAATTTGATCTCGTCTTAATATTTAGGCAAAATGTCGTTCTTTAATTTAAAAAAACCGTTCAAATTTCAAACTTTGATCAATTCAACCCTTTTGCGGTGTTCAAAATAAACATAAAATCATTATTCGTAACTCACGTTTTAATATGCTCTTGTAAATGGCATAACAGAGAATTTGATCGTGGGTCAATTTATAGGTGTAATGACAATTTTAAATTTGATGAAACCGTTAGATTTTCACACTTTGATCTGTTTAACCCTTTCCCGGTGTTAAAAATAAACTTTTAGATATCATTCCTAACTCACTTTTTGTTGCTCTTTCGAATGGCATATGTGAGAATTTAATCTTTTCTTAATAAACGTGTAAAACCCCCGTATAAAAGTCGTTTATTTTTTAACGTTACGTTCTTCAACCCAATTTTTAAGAATTTCTAAAAAATAAAAATTGGTCGATTTTTTCGTTTTATTTTCTACAGAAAATTCAAAAATCTTGATTTTCGACTAAATTTATTACATTTTTTCAGCTTCCATCTAAATTATACTCGAAAAACAAGTTTTTAAAAGAATTTAAAAATTTTTCAAAATTTAAAAATCGTCGTTTTTCTTGTTTTTTTCTATATGAAATTTAAAAATTGTGATTTTCGTTTATTTTTAAAAAATTTTTGCAATCGTTTATTATGACTGAATTTGGTTTTTTTTATTTCAAACAGAATTATACTCGAAAAATCAGTTTTTGAACAATTTTACAAATTTTTGGAAAAATAAAAATTGGTCGATTTTTTCGTTTTATTTTGTACAGAAAATTCAAAAATCTTGATTTTCGACTAAATTTATTACATTTTTTCAGTTTCCATCTAAATTATACTCGAAAAACAAGTTTTTAAAATAATTTGAAAATTTTTCAATATTTAAAAATCGTCGTTTTTCTCGTTTTTTTTCTATAGGAAATTTAAAAATTGTGATTTTCGTCAATTTCTTCAAATTTTTTGTTTTAGAAAATTTTTGCAATCGCAAGTTTCGACTGAATTCGTTATTTCTTTTGATTTTTAACCCCTTGGCAGTCGATGACGTGTATACACGTCATGGTGCAGGTGGGCTCAAACTGTCGATGACGTGTATAGACGACATTTTCAAAAATTTATCGGATTTACTTGAAACTTGTTACTTAGGGGTTTTCGGGGTCGCTGATTACGAATCCGATATCAGATTGTAAAAATTCAAAATGGCGGATCCAATATGGTGGACGACATTTTCAAAAATTCATCGGATTTACTTGATACTTGTTACTCAGGGGTTTTCGGGGTCGCTGATTACGAATCCGGTATCAGATTTTGAAAATTTAATATGGCGGATCCAATATGGCGGACATCTTCAAAAACTCATACGATTTATTTAAAACTTGTTACTCGGCGGTTTTCGGGGTCGCTAATTACGAATCTAGCATCATATTTTTTTAAATACAATGTGACGTTTCGAATATGGCTAGCGCCATTTAAAAAAATTTATCAGATTTACTAAAAAGTTATTACTTGGGATTTATTGTTGTCGTAGATCGAAAATGTAATATCGGTTTTGGAAATGGCGGATCCAATATAAGAACAAACATAAAAAAACAAAATAAATGAAGGAGTGTAAAATCCGACCGCATACCTCCACGTGGTAAACTCTGGGGTCGTAAGTAACGTAGTATACTTAACAGCTGACTGCGGGGGAAAATTTTGTATTTATTATCGTTTTAAAAGTTTTTCGTAATCAGCGAAAACCTTTTAGTAACGAGTTTCAAATGAATCCGATGAATTTTAGAAAATTTGATTCGCCATATTGGATCCGCCATTTTGAATTTTTAAAATCTGAAATCGGTTTCGTAATCAGCGACCCTGGAAACCCCCGAGTAAAAAGTTTCAAGTGAATCCGATGAATTTTAGAAAATGTTGTCCGCCATATTGGATCCGCCATTTTGAATTATTAAAATCTGATATCGGATTCGTAATCAGCGACCCCGAAGACCCCTGAGTAACAAGTTTCAACTTCAAGTGAATTCAGTCGATTTTTAATTTTCATGTCCTCCATATTGAATCCGCCACTTTGAATTTTCAAAATCTGATATCGGATAGTTTTCTAAAAAGTTGTTGACATTTTGAGCCCACTTATGAGATTTTGGTCTTGACTGCGAAGGGGTAAAACAGAGTTATACTGGAAAAATCAGTTTTTTAACGATTTTAAAAATTTATGAAAAATAAAAATTGGTCGATTTTTTTGTCTTTTTTCTACAGAAAATTTAAAAATTTTGATTTTCGATTAAATTTTTGAAATTTTTTCGAGACGCATGCTTATTTCCGAAATCTTTTTTGACCAAATAGGTATTTGATATAAAACTACTTAACCCCTTAATGGCCGAGTTTTTTGCCGTTATTATAAATGTATAATGTTTAGTAAATTCGATTATTTTATTATTCAATATAAGAAAAACATTTTTTTTAACATGTTCCACCCCTCAAAACCACCCATAACGTATATTACTACCCAAAAAAATGGATAATTAATATAAGTAATAAATTGAATATTTTTAGCTCCTGTCTGCTTTATAATTATTTATAAATATTGTCTGGTTGTTTAAAAATAAAAAATAATTATAAATAACCACTTGAACACGACCCTTAAAGTCAAATAGCCACCCCTTGACGATAATAGTTTTTGTGAATATTTAAAAAAAATCTATAGACTCTAAATGCATCTAAATTTTAAAAAAATATTTCTAAGTTAAACAAATATGGATAATAATGTTAAACACCCCCCTTGGAACCCAACCCTATTTCAGAATTATTCTTACATACTGTCAATAGTTTTGAACAATTAAGAAAATAATTTTTATAGATTCTATACGTTTCGAAAATAGAAAAAAATATTTGTATGATGACTAGGTAATGCTAGTAAATGTAAACTAGCCTCTAAAAACAACCCCATGGTCAAATAACCACCCCTTGTTGATAAAAGTTTTTGTAAATGATAAAAAAAATCTATAGCTTCTAAATGCTTCTAAATTATAAAAATAAGGTTTCTAAGTGACACAGATGTGGATAATATTATTAAGCACACCCCTCGAAACCACCCATACTAACTGCATAACAAGATTCAGGCGAATCTGATAAATTTTTTTTATTTTTTGTCCGCCATATTGGATCCGCCATTTTGAATTTTTGAAAACTGACATCGGATTCGTAATAAGCGACCCTGCAAACCCCTGACGAACAAATTTTATGCGAATTTGGTAGATTTTTAAATTTATCGTCCGCCATGTTGGATCCGCCATTTTTAATTTTTGAAATCTGACATCGGATTCGTAAGCAGCGACTCCGAAAAGCCCCAAGTAACAATTTTTGGACGAATCTGATGAATTTTTAATTTATCGTCCGCCATGTTGGATCCGCCATTTTGAATTTTTGAAAACAAACATTGGATTCGTAAACAGTGACCCCAAAAACCCCCGAGTAACTAATTTTAGGCGAATTTGGCAGATTTTTAAATTGTTTCGTTTTTTTGGGATAGTTTTCATTTATTTTTTTACCCTGAGGTAAAATTTTCTTATTAATTTTTTTTTTACAAAGTTTATAATATTTTAAAACATAATTATGTTACTTTGAAACCCGAAAAAAAAAATTTTTTTCTTGAATTTATACCTTTTTTTAAATTTTTGTCATTTTTTGCGTTTTTTGAAGGGGGGTATTTCATAAAGGGTAGTATTTTAGAAAATGTCATTCATATGTATTTGTTACTCTCGCTCACCCCTTCAAAATGAGACCTTAGCAAAGTTGATCCGTTAAGTTTTAAGAAAGTTATTATTTATTGAAGTTAACTTAAAATTCACATAATATGCACATTATTTGACATAAATTTCATTGTACACAAAAACCATTTAACATAAATATCATTTGTCATAGAATTCATTAAACAGAAATATTATGTTACATAAAACTCAGATAACTTAATTCCCATTTGATATAAAAATTACAGGAATTTTACATTGTTGGACGTCGAGCGAGAGGTTGTCGAAAAACTGTGGCATTACGATATCCACCCTAGCTGTGTAATCAACATCAAACAACGTTAAGCGGAGCTCACAGGACGAATAGTGTTAGCGAGGGCGAGCATAATCGTTTTCGGTTAGTGCTGCAGAAAAAGAAATGATAGTTTTAGAATACGAAGAGTACGAGAGGGAAAATAAAGTTCTGGTCTACCTGAGGACTTTAGCTCATACTATTGTGTTATAATAAAATAACTTGGATTTTCGGAAATACTTATTTATTTATATTATTAAGAGAATATTTAGAAAATAATGTAAAATAAGACCAAAAATAGAAAAGACGCAACAAAAAAATGATTGCGAAAAAGTATTTCATCTTACAATTTATAATTTATTACAAAACAAATGCATTTGAATATTTGATTTATATACATTTAAATCTATTAATAGTCCACAACTATACTTAAGAAATGTAATATTGGTCGATTGTATAACAAATATTAATTTTCAATTATCGACAATTGAAAATTCCGTAAAAAAAATATTTACAGTAAAATATGAAGACATGGACAGTTTTCTTCGAAAACGATGTTATTACAAACTTATAAATTATTAATTCTAACAAATATAATTTCTTTTCTATAATGCCTTTTATCAGTCAGTCTGTCAATAAAAATCTTGTGTCCAGAAATTATTAAAATTATTGTCGTATAAAATCACTTAAGTATATTAATATTAATTATTTTATCGCGTCAGTACATATATTTATATAGAATATAATTAAAATACTTTTTGTATGAGAGGACAATAGTTCTGAAATTAAAAAAAAAATTATCTGTTTTCGAAGTCTCTTGAGAATTTGATGAACGTTTCATGGAAAGTGATGACGGCAATGGATATTAAATTATGAATATTTTTATAATTCAGTATTTTGACTACTTCGACGTACGTAACGATTAAAATAGTCGGGACGCCAGCATTTACAACTTCCGGGTACCAAAAACCAATCGTAGTAAAGTCGGACCTGAAATTTACAATTTTCAAAAATTTAATACTTGTTTTTTCATAAATTTTGAGTTAGTTAAATTGCACTGAAGAATCATTAAAGTAAGTTATTTCAGTCTCAAACTTTCTTAAATTTTCTGCAATTTTTTCTTTCTTTTTACAAAATATATGTGAGTTTGAATAGCTTTTTACTGATTAACATAATTATGAATGTTTATAGATTAAAATAGTTCAAATTAAATTTTTTGTTTAATTTCACTTACTTAAAATATATGAACATAGGTTTTTTATAATAAAAATAGATCAATGAATTAATTAACCCGGCGAGCGTAAGGTAGAATTTTGCAACACCAAGCGTAAGGTAGGGTATTTTTTACCCTGTAATGTAATACTATTTATAAATTAAAAAAAACTTAAAATCATGGAAATTTTTTTCTATAAATGTTTTATGTTGCCTAGTAATCTAATTTATTAATGTTACGATAAATTTTTCATTTGTTTAAACAAATTATTATTGTTAATTTATAACAATTCCAAAAACAAAATATAGAGAAAAGCAAATTTCTATACATTTGGCAGCATGATATCGGTATTATTTAATGCTAAATTAATGAATTAAGGGGCACACCTAGTGTGAGTGACTGAAAAAAACGTCGATTTTTAGAAATTTTTTTCAGGGAAATTATTGCATCTAATTTTTTTTAAAGTTTTGTACATGTATATTTGTATAAATAGTGAACATTTTGTAATTTGTAATTTTTGCAAAGAAAATAGTATATTAAGCAACAAGGGCATAAAGGCAGCCATTTGTTCCCGTGTTACTTACGATATTTTTTATTCCTAATGCACAAAAGTGGGGATTTCAGATAGCAGACGACAGGGAGTAAAAGTCATTCACTTGTTCGACTTGTATGAAAATGGCGGCCTTTTTTTACCTTGGGCAAAAAAAAGCATGGGACCAGCTGTTTTTTTGCCCTTGGGGAAAAAAAAGACGCCATTTTCATACGGTCGAACAAATGAATGACTTTACTCCCTGTCGTCAGCTATCTAAAAGCGCCATTTTTGTGCATGTGGGATAAAAATATCTTTTTTTTAAAGAGTTATTCGCTATATCCAAAAAAACCAGTTTCTCCACACGGAAAGAAAAAGTCCGTCAACCATTAATGGATTAGTATATTACTTTGAGACGGGACTCTTTTTCCGTTGATGGTTACTTAACTTTACTTAATGATTGAAAAACTTCATAAAAGTTTAAAAAACGAGTCATGGATTGATTAGAATGCCAGTATGTGACCAATTGTTTTAGATTTAATGCTGAATTGTTATCAATGGCTGTTTAAATGTTTACGAATCATTAGTGAAAGTTTGTGAAACGTTAGTTGACTCGTATTCTAAATCGGTGCTCTTTACTAGCGCATTGTTGCGCAGTGTACCGATGCGCAACATATGCTATACATATATAAATGCTATACATATCCCTATATATACTATTATGTGTAATGTGAATATTTAACTTAACTAATAATTTGCAGTTGAATTGCGTCTAGAAATTGACCTCGATGAAAATATATTTTCTTTTATATTTCTCGCTAATTAAAAAGTAGTTATTAGTGCAAAATCATTTCTCACAAGTTGTGAAAAATTTTGTTATTTGGTATATAAGAACAGTTCGCTTCTAAACTTAAAGTGTTATAAGTGTGCGTTTTTACGTGTAGTTATTAAGTATGCGAATATATATGTAAGTCTTGGGTTTTAGGTTACTTGCGTTAAAATGCGAAAATGTGTTGGTCTAAAGCGTCTAAGAGTGTAAATAAAATATCGGAACTGTGCAACGAAAAAAATGTGTTCATTCTGTACCAAATAGTGTTTAAAATTAGGGATAATTCTGAAAGAAGTTGAATTTTTTTGATAGTCATAGGAAATTTAATAGACAGTTTTCTAAATTTTAGTGAACGAGTTTTATATATTGATGACAGTTTTTTAAATTTTAGCAAGCAACTCGTCATTGATTGTGACTCAAAGAATGTTATTCATTCAATGATTTTGTGTCCCGTCTCAAAGTAATATACTAGTCTATTAATGATTGACGGACTTTTTCTTTCCGTGCACTGCTGCAGTTATTGCGGCCTTCTGAGTGACTGAAATCAAAAAAACCAAAAAGATTATTAAACTAGAAGATATTTGCCATACTATGAGGCTCCAGTTTTTTTTTGGATGAAAAATAAAATTTTGGGATGCCAAAAACTATCGGATTTTTTAGGCGAAATTTATAAGCTTTTTTCAAAACTCCGCCATTTTGTTGCAATTCAATATTTTTTTCGTCCGAGGGTCATTGTATGGCAAATATCTTCTAGTTTAATAATCTTTTTGGTTTTTTTGATTTAGGTCACTGAGAAGGCCGTAATCACTGCAGCAGTGGGAGAACTTTTTTTCGGATACTCAGGAGATAGCGAATAACTTTTTTAAAAAAAGATATTTTTCTTTAAAAAAATTACAAAATGTTCACTATTTATACAAATATACATGTACAAAACTTTAAAAAATATTAGATGCAATAATTTCCCTGAAAAAAATTCCTAAAAATCACCGTTTTTTCAGTCACTCACACTAGGTGTGCCCCTTAAATAAAACATTAAATTAAATTTGCTATAATTATTATTTAACATTGTTTAAATAATTAATTGTTGTTATTTATTAACTTTTTTTCTATTGCACTTGGAAAGATGCAGTTTTTTCTAATTTTGCAATTTTCGACCTAAGATATAACCGATAATTATTAACCCTCAGGGTACTGACTGGGTTAGCGTAACTCAGGCGAATTTTGAAAGTTGCGCCATTTCTAAACAAATCGATGGAGGCGGCTCGGACCAGGGGGGGAAAAAACTTTGAGATTAGAACCGAAAGTAGCTGATTTGGCAGAGCCGGTCGGCACTTGCTGTTCAAGCTGCGAATTATTGAAATTTGTATTCGGGTGAATTATACCCAGTCAGTACGCTATGTTATAAAATCCATGTTTTTGTGAATTGTAAAATCTCATTAAATTAATCGAAAATTATTCATAAATTACATTTAAAAGTTCATAAAGTGTAAAGCGGAAGGATTTTGTAAATTTGGTGAATTTGGGTTTGTAAATTTTCGCGATATTTTTAATGAATTTATCGTTTGACTTTTTTTTACATGTCAAAAATAGAGCATTTTCAAATCTAAAAAAAAATATACTTTTTAAGATTAATTAAAAAACGGCTAACGCTATCTTAAAGATCAACTTTTCACCTTTCCAAAACACCTATATAAAATGATTTTATCTTTTTTTTCATAAAAATACGAGCTTTTGAAAAAAATATTTTTTTTCATGAAAATTTTTTGAAAACCATTTGTATTTTTGACAATAACTTTTATAAATAAAAAAATATCACTAATCCGACAAATCCGGCATATTCCTGTGGAAATTGTAAACAGATTACAAAAAAAAGAGTTTAAATTCATCAATTACAACCCAAGATACAGGCGATCAAAGTTGCTGGGTTACGCTAACCCATGTCAGTACGGAACGTTACATTTTTATAGTCAGTACCCTGAGGGTTAAATGTCAATTCGATATGTTAACAATTGTTTAAACAATTAATTGTTGCTATTTATTAACTTTTTAGGGTTCCGTACACCTACGGTGTATCGGCGGAACCCTATTGGTGAGACTCTATTGTCCGTAGCCAAATCGTGTCCCCCCCCCCCCTAGCGGCTAAACTATTTGACCTAAAGAGCTCAAATTTGGTACAGATATGTATTTTCACACGTAGATTACAGGAAAAATATAGCGAATGTGATTGGACGTGATGGGCATAGCGTTGTCAAGGAAATAACAAGATTTTTGGCCAAAAATGCATAAAAAATGACCATTCCCCCCCCTAGCGGCTAAACTATTTGACCTAAAGAGTTCAAATTTGGTACAGATATGTATTTTCACACGTAGATTTCAGGAAAAATATAGCGAATGTGATTGGACGTGATGGGCATAGCGTTGTCAAGGAAATAACAAGATTTTTGGCCAAAAATGCATAAAAAATGACCATTCCCCCCCCCCCTAGCGGCTAAACTATTTGACCTAAAGAGCTCAAATTTGGTACAGATATGTATTTTCACACGTAGATTTCAGGAAAAATATAGCGAATGTGATTGGACGTGATGGGCATAGCGTTGTCAAGGAAATAACAAGATTTTTGGCCAAAAATGCATAAAAAATGACCATTTCCCCCCCCCCCTTAACTTCTAAACTATTCGACATGGAGAGCTGAAATTTTGCATGCTGGTGTATTTTTACTCGAATATTACAGGAAAAATATAGAGAACTTGATATGTAATGATGGCCATAGCGTTGTCAAGGAAAAACTAAAAAATTTAAAAAAAAAAATTTTTTTCCTAACTTTTACATTATTTGACCTAATGAGCTGAAAATTGGTATCCTAGTGTATTATTACAGTCTGACGACAAAAAATTTATTTAAGAAACTTTTTTCAAAAAAATCAAAAAAAAATTTTTTTTTAATTTTTTTTTCAAAAAAAAATTTTTTTTAATTTTTTTTAGTTTTAACACGTGGCATTAAATATTTTAAGGAAGAGAGTGAAATTTTAAGAGAATAAATGAGAGATTGTTTTCTGACTTTAATTTCTTAACTAAAAATAAAAAAAAATTGGACAAGTGCGAATTGTACTCGCACTGCAATGGCGGGTTCCGCACACAAATATTAAAACAATACTTGCAACATTGATCGGTAATTGGTAGAATTAAAATAAACAATTATAAAAATATATTAAAATCATTTGATAAAAAAAATAACTAAAAAAAATTAAAGTATTGTATATCTAATATTGTAAACAATAATAAGCAGAGGAACTATAATAAATTTTGAAAATTTTGTTCCTCTGCTTATTATTGTTTACAATATTAGATATACAATACTTTAATTTTTTTTAGTTATTTTTTTTTATCAAATGATTTTAATATATTTTTATAATTGTTTAT